GGGGTGGGACTGGGTGGGCTTTGAGGTCCCTTCCAACCCAAACCATTCTGTGATTTTTCATTTAGAGCATGTGAATAGTTTCCATGGGATACTGTTGGAAGCTTTTCCTGACATTTAGCTGCAGTCAGTACCGAGAGGAGCTAAAATTCGCGCCCATTTCCTGTTGGATACACACGACTCCATTGTAATAGTGACAGGAGTTTCTTTTTTCTGCAGTAAAGTGAAGGTCCTCTTCAAATTCACCAAAGTGGACAGCAGACCCAAGGAGGATACCCAAAAACTGCTGAGCATTCTGGGAGCCGCGGAAGAGGACAACGTCAAGCTTCTCAAGTTCTGGATGACTGGCCTGAGCAAGACGTACAAGTCCCACCTGATGTCAACAGTTCGCAGCCCGACGTCCTCGGAGTCCCGGAACTAAAGGGTGCCCAAACCTCACTTGCTGCCTTCGGATAATCGCAGGACCTCTGCTGAGCCTGCAGCGTGTGCGTTAGGTGGATAGTGAAACTTTGTCACTGTTCTTCTGGTCCTCAAACTAACTTGAAGAGTGACTTGAGTCTTTTCTAATTGCTGTGAGACTGGACTAATAAGTGCTCATAAATAGTGCTGCTGTCTGTCCTGAAACTCAACTAACTCTAAATCCAGACCTCCACACTCAAGACTGAAATACAGCAACACTCAGAACCGGCGTGAATTCCTTAAAATCTCGTGCCACCCTCGTTAAGCGTTATGGTGTTGCAGTAGAACTCGGTTTTTAATTTCATCGGCAAGACTCAGATACCTGTGGCGACATCCAGAACTCTTGGGAGTGGGTATAGTTAATCTCCTCAAATCCCACATAAATCTCCTAAATGCCTGAGAGAACAAGAACCAAAAATAAGTGACACGTCGCAGGGTACGGACCACGTGTGAATCGTTTCAAACCACTTCACGCTCGGATTTGAGACTGTGTTCTGCTGTAGCATAAGTCAGGATTCCCAGTTGGAGTCCTGTCACTCCACTTTATTTATTTATATCTTGCGACGGTTTTGGCCTTTGCTTTGGAAATCTTGCCCGTGAGGGAGAATTGGGATACAGGAAGTCTCAAAACGCAGCCTGCTTGCCTCTCTAGAGGGTAAAATACACGCCTTGTTTTGCCTGTGGTTGCAAAACTTGCAGGTAATGAAGAGAACCTCGCCAGGATAAGGTTGCTGGTGTTCGTCTGGCTTGGAATTTGTTTTCTAGCTTCCTAATTAAGTTAAGCAAAAAAGATCCAACCTGTAGGTGCTCCCTTCTATAACTCTAGTAGCCATTTCGAGTGCTTCATGGAAACATTGGTGCAATTTTTAATTACCTAAACAGACATTCCTTATCTGTATTGTAAGGAATTACTGTTTCTGTTGTGAAGTCTCTTTTTATTGTCTCTTTTATTTTTTTTCCTGGATCATTGTTGGGAAAACTTGACATTACCATGGACGTTTTAACAAGCTGGAGACAGGTACCCGGGTGACCTTCGTTCAGAGGAGGCTGAAGCTCAGAGGGATGTTCCAACTTGTCAGGAGTTCTGTTCTTACCTAAAATCTGCAGGTTGATTTTTGTCTGGAACATCTGTAAAAGGGCAACAGGCATTAAATCTCGTTCAGAGCTATTTTTGTAAAATGGACAAAGCCTAGTTTTGTGTTGATTTTCAGCGTGTGCGGGGGAAGCGGCAGCTGATCCACGAGGTAATTCCTGCAGAATTTAACAGGTCTTTGCCTGGTTTTAGGAAAACTGATAGTCGGATACGAGCGACAGAAGTTAGAAAAACATGGAGTAGTGCGTTAGAATTTCTGGTGCTAAGTCGGTGCTAGCTTTTGTGATCTAGCACTGTATTTTTCTACCTGAAAGCTAATCTGGTCTAACTCAGAGGTGAGTAACACAACAGACAAGGCGTTATTTGGCATTTGGACCTTCTTGCTTGCTGAACTGTTTGGGTTTTTTAAGAACAGCTCTCTCAGGCAATCCAGCGTTAACGCCTAGTCTCTCTCTGACCCATGGTTGGTGCAGAAGCACCTGCTGGCAAAGCCCCTGTTTCTGAACAGAGGTGTGCTGTCTTCCAGAGCAGCAAAAGGGCAGTCACGAGGTCAAGCCTGGGGCTTCATCCTACTTCCACGTGCTTGTGTAGGGTGAGACGCAGGCGGCATCGATCGGTCTCTGCCCTGAGCTGAACCAGGGCTGTGTTGCGGACTCTGGATAGCGTATCGTTTTTAAACCAGGGCGAGGAAACCACTAACTGAACACGTATAAAATACCCGCGGGAAGGAAGGGGGAGATGTGCTGAAGTCTGTGAACCCAGGGCTCCTGCGTAGCTGTGCTTGCCTGCCAGAACAGATCCAGGCGCGGGATTACCAAACTAATTGTCTGGGCAAGTTCCCGCAGCTTAGGCCGTGGGTGCTCGTTTGGCCGTCAGCCAGAGCTGGAATGTGCACACTCCTCTTAGCACAACTTAATTAACAAAAAAGCATCTCTGCAGCCATCTTTCACCACCCTCCTTCCCTCTAAACGATACGCCTTAGAGCCAAACTGATCGAAGCAGGCTGTGTCTTTATTCCAGCGCTATTTCCTTCTGTGTGTGTCCAAGCATCGCCCACCTGGGAGGGAGGTGGGAGCGCTGAGCACCACAGCAGCAGGCTGATGGTGCTGCTCTGGCTCTGCCACAACGGCTTGGGCCACAGTTAAGCCAAAGCCACCTTGCACTAGCGCTGCGCTCCCTGTCCCCTCAGCCAGGTGGGATCCAGCTTGAGGCCTCGGGCAGCCCGTGCCGTGTGGCCAGCCGGCATTTGGGGTAGGATGGTGAGGAGCGCCTGGAGCAGCTCCTCAGTGCGCCCAGGAGTGCCCGTGACAGGTTTTTTCCCTCAGCCCGAGGGCCGGGAAGGGGGTCTGTGTGGCGGCTCGACGCCCGCCGCCCGCTCCCTG